CCCCAAAACCCCAAAACCCCAAAACCCCAAAACCCCATACTTTGTAAAATAAATTGAAATTTTAGAGATGGATGGTAAGACACCTATGTTTCTGGTAGAAATTTAGGCTTTATTTCCATAAGAGATGTACACTGAAATCTAAATATTGTTACAAAGGGAAAGAGTGACATGTCTTATGAAATAGAAGTCATAGAGCTACTCCTTCGATCAAAACAGGTAGTTTGAGATGATATCACATCTCTAAAGTTTACTGTAAAAATCATAGATTTTAGCTATTTTATACTATTTATGACTCTATATTGTACAAAGTTTAAGTCTGAAAAAGTTCTTCTTAACACTCTTCTCTCTAAGAGAGTTTAGTACTTACTAGCTTCTAAATCTGAATTATTGAACCTTATAATTTGCCTCGGCCATATTCCAGGTTGGACCAGCTCTACTCTTAATAAAGGCACAGCCAAGTTTAAGGGCACATAGCTGAGAATTATATGTAATTTAGATGAGAGATTGCTTGGTTTAATCTAATGGCTACCTAAACTTTATATGTAATCCTTATTTTTAGTTATACTACAGATACCTTCACCGCTTACTTTTGGGTACCAACATTAGGCACAAGGATCTTCTCCAGTTTCGGATTAAGCCTAATTTTTGAGAAATTGCCTTTTAAAATTGCAAATATTTGATTCAGCTTGCCTTAGGATTTAAAGAGGTAAACGCGAAATAGTATTTTTAGAGTAATTAGGTTAGATTTCATTACTAAATTTGGGACTTTTCTATAAAATGCCTCTCAATTTATAATTCACTTCTTAATGTTTCATCTCTTTCAAATAACATTGCTTGGCCAGCCAAATTTATTCAAGCTTAGTACGATTTAGAAGCCTAAAAATTTGTAATAAAGCTTATTTAACTGTAGCGAAACGAATTTATTGCAAAAAGAGTTGAAGAGGTTCCAAAAAGGGCTTGAAAAGAGGAGTCAACAGGATGAAAAAGCAAAATAAAATTGAGAGTATCCTTGAAACCTCTGGAGGGCCTGAACTTATCCAACAATTGGATAAAGCTGGAGTTTCAGAGCATGAGCAGCAATCCGCTTCAATCTTTAAACAAATTAACAGTTGTGAGGTAAGTTATCCCCGGAAGAATGCCAGTCTAAGCCTAAGTGAATTCTGACTGAAATTTCATACGAAAAGAAGGAATAAAATTTCATGAATTTGAGAGATCAATCCTGAATGTTCATATTCTTTTCCAGCTTTTTAATCTCATATAATAGAAAGAGCAGATAGACAGCAATGCAGAGAGATACTCAGCATTGCTTAAGAAGGATGATTCTGTGCTCGCTGATAACACTTTCAATGTTCCAAGGAAGTCTTTAGGTAAGTTGGGCTTAATCTTGTTTTAGAAATACATAATCCGTCGGTCAACCCAAAAGTAACCATTTTGGTCATTTTTATAGGAGAAAGCCATGCTACGGTCTCAAAATTATCTTATTCCTCAACTACAGAAAACAAGGAGGATTGCTGAGTCTGATCTTGGGTACAGAGGAAGGAATCACATTGGAAAAGAGAGTTTCATTGCTATCAAAAATGAGCACTGTAAAGTCTCAGAAAATAATATCTAGTTGCAAGTTTTGAAAGCTCCAGCAGAAGCCCAAAGGGTTCAGGCATTCCTGTTGATTCCAGGTGTGTATTTATATCATTACAGTAGGCTAAATCTGTATAAAAATCCTGAGGAATACAACAAACTCATCAGGAAAGAGATTAGAAAATAAGAGAAGGCTAATGAGAAAGCAAAAAGTAAGCTTTCCCTCTGAAATATTTCATCCAAGCCTTGATTTATAGAACTCCTCAAGTCTGGAAAAGGTCTGTTATAGCAAGCACGGCTTTACTAAAATTCAGGATAAAGAATTGGCCGACATCTTTTTAACCAAGAAGAAGCGTAGAAGGGCTCAGAATCGATCTGTCGATAAGAATCCGATCATGACAGTCCACAAACCAAAGTTTTATAAGACAAGTATGTGAATGATTTCATATCTTTAGGTGAGAAATCTTCTGAGCCTCTACGCGAAAGAACCATTAATCATATAAACGTGACTTCTCAGAGCATTAAGAAGAATTGAGGCCTACCAAAGATTTCTAGTAGAACCCCCATAAGGTCTCTAAAGTTGAAGCAGGAGGAGTAATGACTGCTTATAACTTATAGTCCAATCTCACCAACTCAAAAGCCAGGAAGTATCAGGTTGCAGGTTCCTTCCAAATCAAAGTTTTGTGCTAGAAGGAAGAAATTCTCCGTAATTTAATCCTAATTTTTAGAGTTCTGTTTTAAGTAAGCTTACTACTAAGCTCTGAATTATAAGAAGAGCTGTGCCAGTCAGGAAATCTGTCTATTGAAACGGAAAGTGGGAAGATAGACCATGACCCTCATTTTATCTCTTGCCTATAGGGAGCCATAACTTATCGACGAAAATAGACACTTCAGGATCGACAAAGGTCACTTTATTAGCTCATTTTTAGGAAGTAGTGAAAGACTACAAACAATTGCTAAATTTCAACTTTGATAAGGAGCTGGAGTTGGCAAAGAAGACACTTGGTTCAGGGCTAGCTACTAAGAAAAGAATTGTACAGTTCCAGTTACCTCCTCTGAGTAGAGATAAGGAGACTTCTCCACTCTAATTATCCAAAGATACTAAAACATGTTCAGCAGAAGCTCTGTTCTATCTTCATTAAATTTTATGCACAAGCTGTAATTTCAACTATTCTTCAAAAACATGGGGTTTTGGGGTTTTGGGGTTTTGGGGTTTTGGGG